CCTCTAAACAGGTACGTAGCCAGGAATTCGGAGGCAGCTGATTTTTTGCTGCCTTCACCAGTAGGCTCCTCCCAGGAAAATGGCAAAGTTTTCAGCTACTCAATTAACTGAGTATAAATGATTATAAAGGAAGCTGATTAATAAATTATACCTGAATAGGAATAGCATGGTATCAGAAATTCAATCTTAGGTAGGCTTTTCAAATATTGAGGAGATATCGGATAATTTACAATTTTAAGATACATAGCTCAATCTTAGCAGCAAAAGTGGCATCTAATACATGTTACATTTTATAATGGGACAATGAATTTCTTAAAGAATTTACAGATCCAATAATTAAAAATAATATTTGATCAATTAATTATATTTGATTAATCTATTTATTACTTTGTAGTAATAATTAGGTTTTTCTTAATCTAGAATCAAAACCAAAAAAGATTTCCAAGGTTGAAAACTTAACTCAAAATCTTTGATAAGAAAGAGAATGAAGATAAAATTCTTTTCCATAAAGATGCCTTCCCACTAAAGACAGAAGTGTATTAAGGAATCCACAGGCTATACTTCACAATTACATCATTCCTATAGTGTTACCTCTACAGACAGTTGATAGTATTCCGCTTGCAAAAGTTGATTTCTTAGCCTACTAACTGCTGCAGGCTCTAATATCTGATCCAGAGATGGAACATGACGATAAGCAGCAGCTACTAAAATATTCAACACATCCACCTTGCTGAGGTAACTGTTGTGGGAAGAAAAAAGCAAAACAAATGAAATGCATTTGATTCATTTTACTCAGTTTGGTTCTTGAAAGCTTCAAATGTATTTTAATTTCAAGAGGAAACTTGCAATTCAGAGGAGGCAAGGGATCAATCATACTATTTTTTTCTTCTTTTCAGGTCTTCTCCTAAAAACAGCTCACAGTTTATCCAAAATAACACACAATTAGGGCCTCACATTTTGATTTTATTCTTGTGAGAAGAAACCCCAGTTGCAACATTTTCTTTCATATTGGCTAATTTTGAGGCAATAAGGTATTAAGACTTCTTGAGGCATTAAGATTTCTTCTTAAGACTAAATATAACAGGGTCCATTTTATAAGCTACATAGATGGTTCAGCTACGTATCTGTTCAACATAAATATGTGCTAAAAGTCCAGGATAGTTAATAGCAACTAAATTGGCTACAGTGAGCAAGTCAGTGGATTGTTTTCTTCTCTGTTCAAAAGTTTGCACAAATATATTCTGTCACATGGCAAGGCAGGTTTGGACATTCTTAAAGTATGTAAGTCATAAACTCTGCACATAATCCCTGAAATATAATAAACAGCATAAAAGAAACAAGGGCATTATTTGTGAGCTTGCTTGTGATTTATCTTGCAAAACTCTACAAAAAGATTAACTGAAGACAAATCATTACAATGGAAAGATTTTCCAGGAGGCCTACTGACATCTTACCTGTCACAAAGAGCTAACTCCTGGCTCCTCCCAGCTTTTACAAACATCATTTTGGCACTGAAAAGCAACTGTTTCATGATGTCTATGAGGAGACTAGCATCCACTTCAGGGTTTGCCAGGCTTCGAGACAATTTGCAGCAATAGTCTATCAACTGCTGACCACAGGCAATGCTGTCAGAATGCAGTTTGAAGATGGCAATACACAAGGATGCACTAGGAGCCTGAATATTAGAAGAGGGAAAGAAATAAAGAAAAAAAAAGAATGAAAGTGTGACTGTCTCTGCTGGTAGATGAGGCCAAAAGAGCTCCATATAGGTTAGATGAAATAAGTCATGAGACAAAACCCAACACAGTTAAAGAATATTCTCTACTTTAAAAGGCAAGGAAGTAATAATTCTTCACTCTAGTTTCAGAGAGATGGTTTCTTTGTCTATCATCCATCCATCAGTCCATCCATCCATCCAGTTTACTCCCACTTCAGTTCAGAGGGACTTTAAGACAGTTTACAAAAATTAAAACATAACAAAGCAATAATCAACAATATTCAACTATTCTGCAATGCAATAATCTAGAGGTCTGGCAAATCCATTGCCCACTGCTTGAAAGTTACTGTTTCAGTAATTTTCTAAAACCTCAGTAATGTCTCTTGGTCTTTTCTGCCTGTCCTAGGAGACCATAGGAAAGACAATTTAGGAGAAGTTACTTACCTGTTCATAAAAGAATTCACTGCGCATCGTTTTATTGTCTTCTTCCATCAAAGAAAGCTGCCATTCAAATTCTGCTGGCTTCGGTATTTGTACAACTGCAGAGTAATCTGAGCGTTCTTTATCAGAAGATACAACTGCTATGAAGAACAAAAAAAACCACTTTAAGATGAACTAAGTTTAAGAAACCACATAGCTCAACGATTTGGGGTAAGAATACACTTGATAGGAAAGTAACTCGGCATATGGTCTTTCTTTCCTTAAACATTAAACTTGTATATTTATTCACACATTGCAAAGGACATTTTTTTCTTATTGCATGTTTCCAAAAACTCCCCCAATCCCTCTACATAGTCTGCCTTTAAAAATATTTGGCTTTGACATAAGCATTGTATTTCTCATGTTATTGCAGGAATAAAACACTCAGAGGGACATGATGGCTAAATTCCTAGCAGGTTTTTTTTACTTCATTCCTGACTTTACTTATCTAGTGACAAAAATGCTATCCATTGCTATTTCTCTTGAATTTATTCTGATATTTTCTTGCACTGTTTTGTTTCTGGCAGCCTTGAAACGTTTGCAAAATTGTAGTATTCATTTGGTTAGTGGTCTCTTTATAAAAAGTATTTTTAAATTAAAGGATTTTTAACCAAGCGTAAAGAATCATGGCTCAGCTTTCTGATCTTGAAATATTTTTAGGAGGCAGCTAGTTTAATTAATATTTTCATCTGTGTTATTAGTCCTACAGCAGCACAGACTAGAAGGTTTACAATTCTACTACAATTGAGTTGTTGATTTCTTGTTAAAATGAAACAAGGTTTTTCTTTTTCTTTTAGGTTACCTATAGGCTTGTACTAGAAAGAGATCAGAATTATGAACATGGCCTATTATGTGTTCTTACCTTCTTGATTCTGATCCTCTTCATTGGAACTATTAAAAAGAAAAGAAAGATGCTTCACATCCATTCTAATAAGTTTGAAAAATTTATAAAATTTGAATATTGCAGCTAATAAAATTAAACCACACATTTTTCTTACAAACTGGTTCCTTCACTAAAGAAAAGCCCTAATCATGAAGACTATACAAAACCCATCAATACAGCAGCTCTCCTGGAAGCATCATAGGGATTGTTTGAAGATTATCCTCTAGCTGTATGCACAACCACTACTAGAGAAGCAAAGACATGTATCTCTCTTAATTGTTTGCATTGTCCTACTAATAGTTTCTTCTTAAGTAGAAGGGGAAATGTTTGCAAGTTTGTTCACAGTAATCAGCTAATTAACTTCATACTATAATTCAATTTGCCTCAAGGTGAAGAATGTAAAGATGTTTCAGGGCAGATATGTACTTCCACTTTTGTAATACTACTGTTAGAATATTTTCAGCATTGTTTTATAAATTAACCTTGTTAATTTGTAGTTTTATGTCAACTCAAATTGTCTCAGAAAAGGCAAGATAAGATTTGTACATACATAAATGTATGCTAGGAAGAAGGGATCTCTTTTCATGATTCTAACATACTACCAGTAGCCTCCTAAAAAAAAGCCTCTAACATGTTCATTCTTCTTCTCTGCCAAGCTCTTAAACAATGTCATTTCATTCATGAACTATCAGAATCAACATTCACAAACAAAACAAAACAAAAAAGGAAAAATGTGAAGAGGTATGTTCCCGCACAAAATGTAACCATTAAAAAAGTAAAAAAGAAAGCTAATTTTTATAGACAACAATAATATATTCATTTAATACACCTCCCCTCCCCCAAAAAACCTGGTGCCTTATAAACTAAAGTCTGAAGAATCCCTTGTCACTATAGTCATCAGGAATTATGGAATCTGAAGTAAAACTGCTTCTCCCACAAAGAACTATTATTTCAAGGAACAGAAGGTTGTGAAAAAATTCTTTACACACATTTCTGAGTCTTGGGATGTAGTTGTTGCATATTCCTTGTTGAAATAACTGTAGCACTGATCACACACACGAGCTGGGTTTTCCTTACAAGCTTCCACAACCATGTTCTTGGTAGAACAGGATCTGCACACCAGCCGCCCACAGCGTCTGCAGTGATGCCTTCTATTAAACTGAGGTATGAAAGACATTTGAATGAGCAACAGCATTCCTGCAGTTACTGTTTAATCCACCCAAGAAATCTAATCTTGGGATCTTTTGTAAGTAGTGAACAATTTGACTGAACAGTGCTAAATAAAGTTCTCCAAAGACATTAGATAAATACTCATTCAAGAGCTTTTGTTATACCCAGTTCTGGAATTCAATTACCATTGTAAAGCGTTCTGTTTTGCAAACCATGCATGTGTCTTCTGTGTCATCTGGAATCCACTGCTGTTTGGGTGGGGGCTTCTCTGGTGGCACGAAGTCCTGAGCACACGCAGCTTGCTGAAGGCTTTTCTCTTTTGGGTTGGAAGCATGTGTTGTATCTAAAAGATACAGAAAAGGCAAACCAGAGCCAATGTACAACTGAATTGCTGCTATCATAAGGACCAGATAATGCACTGGGTGTTCTATTGCAGAATACATCATCTTTAAAAAATCTGTTCCTCCTTATTACTAACAAAAAGAAGGTTCAGTTCTCCAGTTATATAAGATTGTCTTGCAGACAATATATACAAATATATGCTCCATCAGCATAGCATTCACATTTATTTGAACGGAAGAGTAGGTTTTCATCCAAATCAAGAATGTCTAAAAATCACAGGAAGAATGACAATAGAAGCAAACTATTTTTTTTTCCTCCCTAAACATTCTTTTTTGGAGAGTTTTACATTAAGGGAAAATTTGCTTTGATTCATCTAGTTTTTTAGAAAAGAAAATGCATGTTCACATATGTACAGAAAACTCATACTGGCATATTGGAAAATGTTTCTCTTTGTCTTCAACAAAACTTGGGAAACTGCAATATTAATTTGTCATCAAGGTTTTGCTTGGAAACAACCCAACTGATACTTGGGGAATTATATGTTAACATTTAGATGAAAAGTACAGGCTTCCCTGAAAAACAAATACTTTTAAGTGCAGCTATATTTGTTATTTACTGCATGGGAAATTAAGAAATGTACAAAGAATTAAAAATAGTTGCAGATGAGTTACAAGCTACTTAGATTACATCATGAAAAGAAAATTGACTTGTTGAGTTCTGAATAGCAAAACTGAACAATTGCAATGGTCTATGGAAATTCTCAATTATCCAGGTCATAGTTGACCTTTGGGATAAACAACTGCAACTTTACATATATATAAGAAATAACATTAACAGTTTTTTATGTATTATATTGCTGCTGTTTTATTGAATTTAAATACTGGCTGACTCCGGATCAATTCTGGGTGGATCACAATATAGCAAGATAAAATAACCATGCAGTAAAATACAGAGAACAGAAAACAAGCTAGTGAATTCAACCAACATCAAAAACAAATAGAAACATATCCATCAAATGGCTCCAAATACTTTAACCCAAGGCCTGAGAGAACAGACAGGTCCATAAAGCCTTGGGATAGCAGCACCACTTTGTATAAATTGCTATATTTGTTTCCCTCCACAGTCATAAAACCAATTAGAAATAGAAAAAATTTTTAAAAAAGAGAAAGAAAAGAGTTTGGGTGTTAAATCTTTCTCTCACCAGGAGAACTAGCTGGAAAATGCTCTGTTGACTCTGACTTAGATAAGGTGTCAGATTCAGATCCCGGACATAAATTCTCTTGAATCGGAATAAGAGAATCTAAGACAGAAAGAAAATGCTGTTAAGAAACTGAGCAATTTATATTTATCAGTAAAGATTAGATAAACTGGGTCAAAAAACAATTGTTCAAACTTGTTCAAAAACTCAGGTGACAGAAGTGACAATTGATTTTGTACAGGCTGCAGATGAATAACTTTTATTATCACTTCTTTCTGTGAACACATTGACACACCTTAAAAAATAAAATTCTGATGCCTGCATTCAAAAGAATATAAATATATAACCACACACATACATGCACGCACACATATATATGCTATACAGACATGCATATACACATGCGTGCGGGGACACACACAAATAAATAATTCATCAAATCTGTGGTTCAGATCTGTCTCCAAGTAATAAGAGGAAAATTGATGTGTAGGGATTTGTATATACTTTTTATGTATTAGTTCCTAAATATTCTTTAGTTTGAACTTCTTTTGCTTTATAAATGCAGGCGTTGCTATATAAGGAGCAGTAGCAACAGTGACTTTCGTTGTAATAAAGTTAGCTTTTCAAAGAACATGAAATAGAAGAAGTATTAGTTTCCATATCAGGCCCCAGCAACTATTACAACTTTCTCAGTTTTCCAAGTAGCTCAACTCTCATAATTTATGTGCTACTTAATTACTGTTGAGAGTTTTGAGAGTTTTGTGCAATGAAGCCCATACAATTCTGCAAGGTTTTGAGATTGAGTTAAGTGGCTCTAAGCCAGTGTTTTTCAACCTTTTTTGTGCAAAGGCACACTTTTTTCATGAAAAAAATCACGAGGCACACCACCATTAGAAAATGTTTAAAAAATTTNCTGTTAATTATATGTTTGAAAGCCACAATACCAAAACAGATTGAAAACTGAACTGACAAATTGTCAAGCATTTACAGAAGATGAAAAAACCAGCCATAATTTAGAAACCAAAGCTGCCATTAGAAATACAGGAAGTCTTCAACTTACAACAGTTGGTTTAGTGACTGTTCAAAGTTACAATGGCACTGAAAAAAGTGACTTATGACCATTTTTCAGACTTAAAATCTTTGCAGCATCGCCATGGCCGCTTGATCAAAAGTCATATGCTTGGCAACTGACTCATATTTGTGATGGTTGCAGGGCGCCAGGGGTCACGTGATCAACTTTTGCGAACTTCCGACAAGCGAAGTCAATGGGGAAGCCAGATTCACTTAGCAACCGTGCTACTAACTCAACAACTGCAGTAATTCACTTAACAACTGTGGTTAGAAAAGTCATAACATGGGGCAAAACTCCCTTAACGAACGTCTTGCTTTGCCACAGAAATGCTTTGCAACAGAAGCTGGGGTTGTAAGTCGAGGGCTATCTTTATGCAAGAGAAAAAGCAAAGCCTCTGAAAGGAGGAGCATGGGTAAAGCATCAAACTCTTAATGCCAGCTTGCTTGCAGGACTTGTTCACCTGGGCTGCAAGCTGCCTTTTGTCTATTTCCACAATCACAATCACACAATCCTCTTGGTTTCACTTTCTTCCAAGCAACTGTACGAACTTTGCAAATGAACAGGTGGTGTGGCCTGCCAGCAGCCAAAAATCTGGCAGCAGATTTGGACAGTGAGGAGGTTGGGGAGGAACAGGGACCAGTCCTGGAGTCTGGGGAAGGCTTTGATGAGGGCTCTGTGTCGGAGGCAGAGAGGGAGCCAGAGCAGTATGCTAGTTATCAGCTGCCTTCAGAGTCAGACATCAATGAGGCAGACGAACAGCTGGAGCCTGTTCCCAGTGTGCGCATGCGCAGAGTTGCCAGANCACTAGTGTGCCACGGCACAGTGGTTGAAAAACACTGCTCTAAGCTATGACAGTTAAGGAGCATGTAGACCAATTGTTTTCCCACACGAGTTACATTTTCAGGATGATTATCTTTAGATTAAAGTGGGGGGGGGGGAATCTAAGTGAAGAGAAAAGTCTGACTCATTTAACTTTCTGCAATACAAAGCAGAAAATAGCAATACTAATGAAACAGAAAATTTGGAAAAATGAACCATGAGTATGGGAGAAACATAAATGTAGTATTTTCTGTTTACTCTCTTTATACATTAACAGTTCTAAAAATATTTTATGATAGACTGAAAAGCTATCTGTGGTTTTCCGGTGGAGCCAAAAAAACCCTTGGTTTTTCACCATCACTGATGGGAGATTTTCAAAACATAGTCACCTGATCTCTTCTCTCTTAGAGAAAATGGAAAGTCAAGAGCTTTCCCAGCATAGCTGGATAGCAACGCATCAATGTCTCCTGTGCTGAAGCCTATCTTCTGACCAACCAAGAGCTGGTGCAACATCTGCACAGCCACAGCTGCCCAATCCACTTTCATGTTCATCAATAACTGCTCCAGCATGAGCAGCGGCTTGCAGGAGAGGTGGGAATAGTTAGATCGAGAAGGCTCAGGAAGAGTCAGCAGTACCTTGAAAAAGGAGAGAAAGGAATACAGTATCTTGACCTACCGAGAAAAGAACTTGCAACTCAAGAGTAGAAAACAACAGTCTTTCAGCTAGTTCTTGAAATCGTCTCTGCTACTTACCTTGGATCCCACGTAAAGAGCTTGAATTTCATTCTGGCGCATAACTGTCAGGTGCTGGTTGAAGTACGTTGTGAGATAATCCGCAAGGAAATGAGAAGCTGCTAAGCTAGGATATCTATCAAGACACCGTTCACTTATGACAAACTGAATGTCTGGATCATCTATCCTTTGCAAGAGCTGCAAAAAATTTACATACATATACACTTTATATAGATTTTAATGGATCGTATCAGTTAGAACAATTAATCAGTGGAACANAGACTCCTTGCCAGGTTTTGCAGATATCGGTCTGTCAGCTTTCCAAGCCAGATAAGGTCTGTGATTGTAAATCCTCCCTCGAAAGACTTTGCTGGATGTGAATGAGCAGAATTCATAGTAATTAAATAAAAGGGTCAGAACAACGGGTTGCTTTAATGAGTAAACCTGAGTATTTTGTAAAACACATTTGAAGATTTTACAAGCTCTCTTAAGGTAAACGTTCCTAAGACAGAAGCAATGTGGGTTTCCATGATAAGAAAGCTCTTCCATACCTGATGTGCTGGTGACACTTAATTCACTGCTGGAGCTCTCCTGTGATGAGTTTGAAGTTCTTTTGTGTTCTGAAGCAGGAAAAAAAAAAGGTGGGGGGGGGAAGGGTGAGTGAAGCATGTCACCTTATTTTCATTGCAGCATCTACAGACTAATTGAGAGATGAGTAGTAACACTAAACATTTTATTCAGTCTAGATAAATTCTTATATTATTACCTTGGGTTGACTTAGAGAATTCGTATCCAGAGTACTGTAAATTGCTTTGTGTTAGGATAATCTGTACTATTTTATCTAATTTGTACAAATTGTTATTTTACACCCTGGTCTTGTATATTAACTTCATGACAGCACAACCATTACCCAAAATATCTAATATTGGTCTCCAAACTATGCAAATACAGGATATAACACAGGAGAAGGAAGATTTAAAATAGTCTGCCTTTAAACAAAATGTTTTACAGCACCAACTTAGCTTATATTCGGAGGGCTTTGTTCTCCCTGATATTGTCTATACGACAGTATCTTATTATGTTCATGTCAAATATAATCATACACATGGAATCATGACTAGTTCCCACCCTGTTCTTTAACTACTGCAGGACTAAGTAGCAATTTTCTTATATCTAAGAAGCAAATTCACTTTAAAATTCAGCTGCAGCAAACACAACTTGGTTGTTTTGGACAAAGCAAGCTCCTTCTTAAGCATTGCTGAACGGTATTTCCAATCCAGCTATTCTGAATATTTGGATTAATCAGAATCTTTTGCTGAATGAGAGATAGGGAGATAGGAGATCCCAAGAGTTTAGATCTAGAGAGTCTATTCGGAAGCATCCGCTATTTTTTTTAATTTTATTTGTCTTTGCATCTAAGTCTATAGTGAATACTAAATATAGTATATTTTTTCTCATTTACCCCCAATTTAAGATTGCAATTATGAACCAGCGTTGGTTGTAAGATACTGTAGTGAATAAAGAATATGGTCTTGAAAGACAGTAAGGCAGGGCCCCTCCCCCTAATTCCTATGAAGTTAAAAGCGGGAGAAAAGGTAGCATGTTGAGGCTTGCAACATCCTTTTATTAAGGTTGTTCTAATAAAAGTAGAGTTAAAAAAAGCTTTAGGTCTGCACGGTGTCTGTGACTAGTTTGCCCCCTCTTTTATCTTCATGCGAATTAGAGAGGAGGACTGTCTAAGGTGTTTTCGGAAACCATTTTCTTGGCCTGGGCACAAGTGTCATTTATCTGATCATGGCATTGGTAGTGGGTCTTCCCTCTGTCCTCCAAGACCATCTTCATTCACTACACAGTTATAATATAGATAAATGATCAGAGTCCAGAACCATGAAGTTCTGACTAGCAGAAGAAGCAATACATCTGTGACAGTGATATAAGACTCATAGCTATTTCTACCATTTTACCTGGCTTTTGTCTTTGAGACTGTGTGTGCTTTTTCAAGAAGGATGCTTTGGTGAAACTATAGTTTGTTCTAGTTGGATCACGATGACTACCTGCAAAAACACCATTAAGTTGTTGTATAATTGCCGTTTTATCACAATATACCATATGTTAGATGAAAGCAAAAAAAAAGATATAAATATTGAGAGTGCTCTATCTCTATTTGGGTAATTCTCCTTACAGCTTCTTTGTTTTAAGCAGAAATATGGCTGCGTTGTGTGATGCATCTTAGCCAGAAGAATGAAAACTCATCATAATCAGGCTTGCACCAAGGAATACATTCTGATCCACAGCTGTCTTCTTTTCAGAGACTTCTAAAACTTAGTTACATTCAAATATATTTCCCTCACGTATGCTTGGGGAAGACAAAATGAACTATTGTAACACATCATCCCCAATATCTGGGGTACATCATACAATAGGTTTAAAGGCCCACACAAGAGACATAACATTTTGTAATACAATAGAAATACATCACGCTGCTGTATCTTCTCCCTGTTCTTTTCCAAACCAACTTTATTTTGTAGGCTCATCTTTACATGGATCTACTTGAGTTTCTGCACAGGATCTAACATTGCTTCTTTTTAAGCTGTCACCAAGAGAAGCCCCTATCCTTTTTGATAAGAATGAATGAAATCTCTTAATAATTCTTACCTGTGTTTTTGTTGCTGAGCACTATTCTGTGCCGCCACTGAGCTTCAGAAAGATACTTGGAGAGTTGCTGCACACGGCTGTTAAAGCTCTCCTTATTTACAGATAAATTCAAGCTATCTAGCAGAGCCAGTTCCATCGTAGGGATGTGTCTTGAATCCCACACAAAAGAATCCTCAATTTCTTTCAGATGCTCCATGAGCATTTTGAGAAATATTTCCAAGGCTTCCTCATCCACTAGAAATCCACATATATTACTGGTGAAATGTTTCAAATCCAAATAGCTCAGCCCAAAGGAACCACAATTTATGTTGCTTGATTCCAAATTGAATAATGCTTGGTTGCTCTTGGTTGCAGAGAAAGTGGGCGCATGGACTGTCATCTCAGGACTGACAGAGTGCTGAGGACTTGGTGTGGTGGATGAATCTTGGCTAGCACAACGCTCTGCTCTCTTGCCCAAATGGCTTTTTTTCCTGAAGCCAGCATCTTCTGCATTATCTTCTTCTTGTGGACTGACACCGTAGAGATCACTTGAAGAAACAAAGAGCAAAGAGAATATATTTTCCAGGAGTTCCAACCTTAGAGGAGCAGGTATGCTTCTTAAATAATTCTGACACTTGGAGAGATAGTGAGGAAAGAGACTTGCATAATCTGTATCTGTGAAGACAAAACAGTTAAGTGAACAGATTCAGTATTTTTCTCCAATCAACAACTCAGTTTGAGAATAGCTGAAATAAATTTGGCTGACTTNTGTTAAGAGTTATGCTGCAAACTCAAAACACTTAATACACATTCAAAGCTTTTACAAAGCTTCTTTGTAAAATAATGTACTATATACAAAGGAAGTCTATCAAAGCTGACTCTCTCTCTCTCTCTCTCTCTCACACACACACGCATGTGCATGCACAAACACACGGGTCATGGACTAAAACATATCTGCATCTATTATTATTTAACTGATTCCACAATTCTTTCTAAGAACACATGCCAAAATACGCAGAGTAAAACTAAGGATAGTTATTGTCAATAACTGTTGTGACTGGTCATCTAGCGTATTTCATAGTGTCATATGGAAATGTCATAGCCCTAACTCTTGCATTTCTTTCTGTCTATTGCACTACAAGTTCATAATCACTGTCACTGTCCTACTCCATACCCAAAGTCAAACATTTTGGCCTTTGAAGAAAAAATCAAAGTAGCACCCAATCTTCGAAGCATGTGTCCTTTTTCTGGCACAAAAAAAGAATCCTGGAATACCTGAGAGACCAGTTACCTGGAGAGCCTTTTCCATATCTCCCATTTCCAACAAATGAAGGAGGTGTTCCTGGTGAAGGCTGATCAAATGATCCCTTGGGATAGAATACAAGCGGCCCCATTCTTCACATAATTCATAATCCTGCAATAAAAATAAACTTAAAGATAAAGGTTCCCCTTGCACATATGTGGTAGTCATTCCCGACTCTAGGGGGCGGTGCTCATCTCTGTTTTAAAGCTGAAGAGTCAGCGCTGTCTGAAGACGTCTCCGTGGTCAGGTGGCCGGCATGACTAAATGCCGAAGGTGCATGGAACGCGGTTACCTTCCTACCAAAGGTGGTTCCTATTTTTCCTACTTGCATTTTTACGTACTTTTGAACTACTAGATTGGCAGTAGCTTGGACAAGTAACAGAAGCTCACTCTGTTACGGGGCACTAGGGATTCGAACCGCTGAACTGCCGATCCTTCTGATTGACAAGCTCAGTGTCTTAGCCGCTAAGCCACCACATCCCTATAAAGAGCACTTAGAGACTATAAATTGAAAAGTTTAAAAACAAAAGTGTTTGGCAAGGCTATCCATTTATTCTACAGATGGCCTTCCCCAGGCTTCTGCCCTTCAGTTGTACCTGATGGGACTTCCTGTTCCAAAACAGCATGTAGACCAACCCATCTGTTCTTTCTCTGATTGTTAAGCAAAAATCATGGTAAAGGTCAGAGTCTCTGCTCCTTGGCAACTGCTTGGTTAGGTCCCTGCAGTTTCCTTGCCAGGTTTTCTTGAAATTGGCTTTCCATTATTTTCTTCTCAAGGCTCAAGATAGAATGACTGGCTGAAAATTACCCAGATGACTTTGTGCCCAAGGCAGGACTATAATTCATGCTCTCCCAGTTTCTAGCCTAGTGCATTTAAACCACTACACCAAACTACTTCCTTAGTTCTTTTCTACTACAGAATTATAGTTGCATGGATTAAAGAAAAAGCTCCACATTTTACCTTTTAGAAATGGCTGACAACAGTAAAGAAACCAAATGGAATTATTAATTCTGGACAGAAAATACATGGGAACTAACCTCAAGAAGAAAAATATGAAACACTGCTGCAAATGTCCTACCTTTGCTTCTAAAACCATTGCCACAATGGACTGCGGATCTTCTGTGCAGGTCCTCTTTAGATCCTGCCAGTCATGCCAGATGTGGACAGCCTGTAGTCTAAGAATCTGAGAAAATAAAACCAAACAAAACTGAACAGGCACCTTTATGAAAATTATTCTACAAGGCTGGCCAGTACCTGAATTTCTTTACTAGTTAAGTTAGTCTCTACTTACAGCTTCTTCTAAGCGCTGCTACCTACGGAGCTCTCAGGCGCATGAGATAAGGAGTCTCCATTCTCTCCCTTTCAATGCAAATAACCTTTCCACTCTTTCAATGCAATTAACCCTTCATTAACCAGGTAACCAGCTTCTTCTTCCCATCAGTAGATTTATGAATTTTGGGAAGCAGAAGGTACCGTATTTTTCGGAGTATAAGACAGACCTTTTTCCCTCAAAAAAGAGGCTGAAGATCTGGGTGTGTGTTAGACACTAAATACAGCATTTTCTGCCTCCTGAAACCCTGTCCCCTTTGCCAAAATGGCCGTGCATAGCTTGTAGGAGAGCTCCTGGGGGCTGGGAAGGGCAGAAATGAGCAAAAAATGGTCTGTTTTTTGCTCAATTTTGCCCCTCCCCCGCCAGCAGCCAGGAGCACTCTATAAGCTTCCTAATGTCCTTTTTGTGACAAAAAACGGGCCTATTTTTGTGAAAAACGGGACTTTTTTGCTCGCTTTTGGCCCTTTCACCCCCCCTCCCCCCAGGAGCACTCTACAAGCCTCCTAAGGGCTATTCATGACATTTTTTTTGAAAAAATGAGCCCATTTTCATGAAAAACATTCCACTTTTGGGAGGTGTGCAGAGTGCAAAAACGTTTTTAAAAAAATTTCTCTCTTCAAAACCTTGGTGCATCTTATACTCCGGTGCATCTTATACTCTGAAAAATACGGTACCTCTCATTCTGACCTACATGCTGTTACTCATATGAATTCACAGATCTCAGCCTCATGATCAATTGCCTTGGCACTGTATCCTGGCTACAGATGCTGGGAGTGGAGGGGTGGGTGGGGAGTACTATTAACGTGGATACTAAAAAACCCAGAGTTACAGACATTACGATGAAGTGCCTCTCCTGCCACAGTCCATCATGGGAAATGTGAATGAGAGTTCCCCTGTGTGAATATGCTTCTTCTGCTATTTAATAAAGTTGTATATGTTGCTGTAATCTTGGTATCATTTGTCCATTTTATCTACGTAATCTTTCCTGGTGAGTGGTTATTGTCTTTCCACAAATAGGCACTTAGGCTCAAATTTTTATTTTTTTCAGGAATAATTCTAAATTAGAAGTGAGCAACCTTTCATAAACAGAAATACTGTAGTTATTACTAGAATAATTACTAGTATTATTTTAGTCCCACCATCGGTTTATACTGCATTTTGCATCCATAAATATGTATATAAATTAAACCTGAGTGTAAGAAAAAGGGAGATAAGAAAATGAAGAGATAATAGTGGAACTGTCCCCTGTCCCCTTCACTGAAAAAACCCCATCCTCATAAATGGTAAATTCTAATCTTACTTTTCAAGTTGATTTTTTTCTAAAAAGTAAAAATAGAAAAAAATTAAAAAGGTTATACATCTTTTTTAGAAAACTGTTTTAAACTCTCATATACTTTCTATGTGCTCTCACAATAGAAAAATCAATTTTTAGAATACCAAGATTGTACTACATAATATACATTTTTATTTGCAGAAAACCCAGGCAGCCTATCAAGTAATAACCAAGTAATTTCTACTATCCTTAAAGCTAATATGGGAAAACAAAGAAATTGCATCTTAGGGTACTTCAGTGTTCAAGAAAATAACTTATTGAAAGATGCATTAGGAGTGGTACATACACAACATTAGAAATTGGCATTCTGGCCAATAATACATTTAAGTACTGAAGTAATAACTTCCAATCACTTGACTTAATATAGTCAGTCACTCGCACACAACCTAGTCAACCTCACAGGATTGCTGTTGTGAGGAAAATTGGTGGAGAGTTTCATGACACCATTTTGAACTCTTAGAGAAAAGAGGCAGACATGCATAAATATACCAACACAGACCTTGTGGAGAGAGCTTAGCTAATACGTTTTCCGTTCAATAGGAAGCAAGCAGTTTGTATAGAGTGGTAGTAGTAACTATATAGCATTGAAGAATTATTCTGAAGTAAATGCTAGTGGAGCTGATAACTTGATCCAGCCACCATAATCTCTCCTTGGTCAAACCCAGTTCACTTAAGATTATAATGTTTATTCAGTATACTGATGTAAGGAATTTCGTTGAAGAACTGTGTATGTTTATGTTTGGCTATTATTTATCAATTACATCAAAATTAGTTAATGAATGTGTACTTTGAAAACATACCTATTCTGTCTTTTTTTCTTTTCTACAGAAGTGCTCAAAAACCATTCTCCTTTTTATGAAAATCAAGGAACATTTTATTAACTCTCTTCAACTTGTTGGTAATTTTACTTGAGATATTTACTGAACCACCTCTTCTCCACAGGCTCTAGATAGTTTACACCCAACAAACAAAGAATGCCTTGAATATTTTCCACTTTCATCCTAAAAATGGAACAAGTGCCCAATGAAGAGCAGAAGCAGCTTTCAGGCATGCTTCCCAAAACTGAAGGAGGTTTGATGCACACAAAAAATGTTATTTCCACATTCAGCAAGAGAAAGGGACAAAGGAACTCAAGAGGAGTACTCTATTCCAAATGCGATGTCTCCATACCTTTTGATAAACTTGAAGCTCCTTGATTTTGCTTTGCAGATCAAATTTGAGTTCTTCAGTTACTTCGGGGTCACAGGCACAATAAGCTAATATTTCCAGACAGGCCTCCAGAGGCCATCTATCCAGGTACCGAAGGGACAATCTGCTCCTCAGCACAGCGTCTCTCACTGGAAACAGGTACTGCCATCCATTCTCACCTGAAAAGGAGGTATTTTTTTCAAAGACAGAAGCAGTCAGTGCATTTTAGCTAAGAGGGATAAACCATGTAATGAATAACCTAGTACTAAGAAAGTGATAACTATGATTGTTGTTGTTAATTGAGAAGTCGTGTCTGACCCATTGCAACCCCATGGACAATGTTCCTCCAGACCTTCCTGTCCTCTACCATCCTCTGGAGTTCATTTAAGCTCACGCCTACTGCTTCGGTGACTCCATCCAGCCACCTCATTCTCCGTCGTCCCATTCTTCTTTCGCCCTCAATCTTTCCCAGCATTAGGCTCTTCTCCAGTGAGTTCTTTCTTCTCATTAGGTGGCCGCAGTATTTGAGTTTCATCTTCAGGATTTGGCCTTCTAAAAA